AAAGTTTCTTCTTCCATATCCTTTTATGTGGGCCAGAAGGTGTGGCTTAGGTTTAGGGTGGATCTTCCCACCTGGAATGATCAGTCAAGAAAATCCCTACCAAGCATGCTCAGCTTTTTGTGATTTAATTGATGTAGACAAGTTGGTATCCAAGCTTAGCCATCACAGAATCGCTTAACCCCAAAGCGGTCTAATCTTCTTACGTTGAAGACAAGATCAAGTAACACAAACATAGAATGGTCCTGTTCCATGCTTACTGCTGTTTCCATGACTCATTCACAGGGGAATTTCCAAGAAATATGTTGTCAGGACTTCTTCAGACAATCCCTCTGTTGTCATCTACAGGACCCTGTTCCTTTTCCTCAGTTATCCAGTGAGGAACTCATCCTCTCACAAGTTTCAGTAATGTCGTCAAAGCTTTTCATCTATCTTATTTCTTTGCCTCCTACACTGCAGTGTCTTGGTCATTAATATTGTTCATGAGTACAAAGTCTTCATAAAGCTCAGGGAAGAGTTTCCTAATGGATATTTGATTCCAACTCTAAACTTCAGTCCCATAGATAGCCTTTTGCTTTTTACTATGAAATAGCCACTAGTCCCCACTTTCTGCCACAACAGCCTCCTCATTTTGTGTCTTCATTGCACCTGGTTAATGTTAGTATTCACTACTCAATAGTTTCTCTTTTCTAAATTATATTAACAAGTGTGCACATTTTGAGGGTGAGTACTCTGTCATAGGAATGACTATTCTCAGAATGTATCACATAGTTAATAAATAAAAGTAAAATAGAATTTATAGTAGCTGAGAAATTACAAATCGAAAACATCTAAGCCTATTCTCTGCAAAATAGCTTCTGTCTACATGGTTTAGAGACAACAGAGTGCCCTATAATGGACTCAGCAATCAATTTTTAACCAAGCCAAAAACAATTTAAAGCAGTAGTTCATAGGAATGTCCCTTTATTGTCCTTTGCTTCCCAAAGCAATTTTATTCTTATTGCACCACAGCCCCAATAGGGATCACTTTGGGGTTTTCGATAATGTCCACTGAGATTGCAGGTGCTCCTTAATAAAGACAGAGGATTCTGCTGGTCCAGGAAGTTTAACAGTTTAGAAAATAAGTTGGGTCTGACATACATAAAGCACAGTATATAAAACGTACACTTCCGAGTTAGAGATAACAACTAACTCCAAGACCTTAATGTAGTAACATGCCTTCAGTGAGTTCCTGTTTCCACCCCTTGTAAAACAAATCTGAAAATAGATAACTTGCTGGGTAGTTGACTAGATTACACGCAAGTGTCTGTACCTATGATTTCCATGCAGTAAATGTCCAATAAATGTTCATCATTATAGGGTTCATCAGTTTAGCTTCTTTTTCTAGTTCAGTGTTGTAGGACATCTTTTATTCCCTTCACAGAACATTCTGCCACGGAAACCCTCTCTATTTCTCTTTCTGACAGAACCCCAAAGGAACCCACAGAGCTTTTAAATTGAAATATCCACTTATACTTCTCATTGAACAATTATTCCTTTTAACATCCCCAGAAGGCCTCTGTGTCTTGCAGAATGATCACGGGGACCATATTAATTGCTTCTGCAATGGGCAACTCATTAATGCGGCTTCATGGCTTCATTTTCTCCTGCAGAAGCTAACTCCATCTTCGTATGACTAAAAACCAAAATGATTCATTTAAAAGAACTGACTATTTTCCTCATTTCTGCTCACCAGTTTTGAATTCTACCTCGCTACTTTTGAGGGATAATGCTTTGGTTGGTTTTCAATCCCAATCTTACCACTTATTATGGTGGTGAAACCAGTTACAAAGTACACATGTTGCTGATTTATCCAGCGAACAAAATTATAGCCAGCTCCCAGAAACAACAGAACTGCTGATATCGTTTCTGCACGGTATTGCACATGTGACAGTGGAAATGATGGCACCTCTCTAGTCATACTGCACCACATGACATTAAGACACCTCAGAAGTTCATTACTGAAGGGGAGTTCTTGTGTACGGAATGGGAAGTAAGACAGGCTCTATGCTCCCCTGAGTTTCCATGCTTCGGGGAGTTGACAACAAGCTTCTGCTTATCCTTCTCTGGTGACTCCATGTGCAGTTACCACAGCAAGTGTATCAGCAAGAAGGGGAACATCACCCCCACTCTTTTAGACATCTTCTGTTTTTGGAGTAGGTATGTGATGGTTTATAAGAGTGGTTTGTAGTAGCTGTAATTTTTCAAAGTGGGGATCTCTGCTTCATTTCCAGAGAAGAAATAATAATAATGATAATTAAAAAAAAAACCTCGCCAAGGTCACCATATTCTCCAAAAATGAGTGTTTATTTTTTTGTTGCTATATTATATGGAATCATATACTGTATCACAATACATTTAACAATGATTATATGTATAATATAGATGGGTTCATAGAAGTCTATAATATTTAAGTTTATATAAATTAAGTCTATGCTATTTCCATAGTGTCAAAGTCATGTAATGATGCATTTTCCAGAACATATCCCCATTAGGAAAATACGACGATACTTGACTCAGCATGGAGATATTGAGGAAAGTGGCTTTGCCAAGCTACTGTAAGCTCTTTAAGGGTCTGAAGATATAGAGTGTTGGTTTGCTCAAATAGCCTTTTGAGACTTAGCCAGGTTTTACTTATATCTATAAACCCTAGGTTATTGCAAGCATGCTCTTCTCAAGCATTCTCAATCATAGCTAATGCCTGGCTTCTATGGAACATTTTAAAATATTAAGGAATATCATTGTTTAGTTTCATGAAAAGACATCAATATCCATATGGTTCTATAAGAAAAGATTCTAGATCTTCTGAAAGGTGGAGAACAGGCACACAAAATGAAGAATTGCCGTTACCAAACTGCAAGTGCAGTGTTGCATTCAAAGAGAATGCACTGGACATCAACAATTGATTAACTTACATTCTGCTTAACAACAAGAGATAAACTCATAAACTTTGTTTTTCATTTGTATTTAATACATTATTATTGATGACATTCATCTTTCATTCTTCTTGACCATGTTTTTATTGCAAGTTGTATAGAATCAAATACTCATAGAACAGTTCAAATTGCCAATTAATTTATTAGTTATGGAACATAACAATAACTCTATACATTTCTAAACATGGTCTTCTATTTAGCTTATTTAATATGTGCTGTTCTATCATTTGCCTCAGAACTATGGGTCATATGTATCATAGGTTAGCCTCAAACTCGCAATGAGGCCAGGAATGCCATTGAACTTCTGACTTTTCATCCTCTAACTTCTGAACATCAGGGTTTGCATGTATTTATCACTCTACCAGGTTTTATACAGTGTTAGAAGTGTAGTTCTGTGTTTCATGCATGCTAGCCAAGCACTAGTTGAGCTATATCCCCACTGCTTGCTTTCTTTAGGTTTGGGATGATTCATGGAGAGGCATGGTTGGAAGTGTATGTTGCTGAAGATGCAATTTAATGCCGTTTTCAGAATTTCATTTATGTTTATACGCACGCATGTTCGTATGCTCATTTGTAGGTGTATATTCATGTATACATTGATTCTTTGTTTTTTTATCTAAGAAATGCTCTGTAGTGCTCAGCACCAGGTTTTCTTTTCTGTTTAAAACCCTCTTTTTGATAAAGGTCATTGAAAATATATTTCATATGCAAAAAGTGTGACATGCAGGAAGCTAAAATATTATATGGAAAGGGGATATATTTTTTCTAATTTTTAAAAATTCTAGTGTATTGGTATCAGTATTGTTAAGAGGATGAGAATATCAATTTTTTTTTTTTTACTAACATAAAGAACAAAGAAAACAAGTGGCTGCCAAAGGAATAATCTACATGTACAGTTGAAAGATAAATATCCTCACACTATCCAAAAGAAGGAAATTGTCCCTGTAGGGGAGTTCTGATGCTTGATTTGTAGCCAAAGTGCTAAATAAGTGCTCCAACATCTCCTGAAACCATTACCATTTTCATGTCCTTGAGTCCTTTTCTCTTGCTGGATCCACGCTATTTACTGTGTAATTTATAGGCTGTTAATAGATTGTGTTGGCCCAATTGAAAGAGAAGAGCATGGAGGAGGGATCTTTAATTCATGTCAAATGTATAATCATCTGAATGTGTGTGGTTGGACTTCACCACATATCAACGCTCACATATAGAGCTATTTCAATTCACGCAATTTCAGGACTTGAGAATCTTAAAGATGGCTTGACCTTGCATGGTTCTCTAACGATCAGACGCATGCGTGAAATAACTGTGATTACATTACTAAAACTTTGCAGATCTCGCATATTATCTTCTGCTTGTTTGTTTCTTTTGCACTTTAATGTTTTTGTTTCTTGCTATTAAAAATAGTAAGAGGAGTTATTTCACTATTAATTGGTTACCTGTGGGAGTATTTTTTTTTTCAGTACAGAGTCATCTTTAGTCAGCAAAGCTGATGAAAATCAGAAAGAGAATCCAGGAAAAGTCTCAGTATTTGACTTTTCCCATCAGAGCTGTGTAGGAATCCTTCTGTGAACCATAGAAATAATAAATGCTGAGCCCATTGGAACATAATCTCAATCAGCAAGATGCCACTGCTTTCCAGATTTCCTCACAGGCCCTGCTAATTCCATGCCAAAACTAGCCGTGGATTTCTTCCTTTTAATCTCCCCTAATGCCTTAGTCAATTACTGTCATTGCTCTGCCTCTCCACTTCCCAAATAAACCAGTCAGAGGAGGCTGAGTATCGACAAGACTCAATCTAAGACCACAAACAAACCCATTCCATGTGAAAAGACAGAAATAACACAGGAATACCAACTGCTTTCTTGGCAACCCCTTCGTCTATTGGATTGCTGACGGGATATAGACTGGGATATAGAGAGATGTGAGGGGTTTGGAAGACTTCTCCAGTTGATTGTCAAAAGAGAGCTGACTGAGGGGAGAAAGAAAGCAGGAGGAGGGTGACCTGGCATTTCAGTGAACCATAGGATGGTGTTGCTTCTTCCCTGGCTGTTCATTATTCTACGGTAAGAAGATATTTCGATTTCATTTTTTTTATGTTAAAGGGAAGGGAGAGCATATAACCACTGGATGAATTTTATATTGCACAGTGAAAGAAAACAGGGGTAGTAGGATAGCACCCATGAAATGATGTATTTTCTCTGAGGCCAGGTGTGAGAATTTTTGACTCTCCACATTCAGGCTAGAAAATGCCCAAGCTCAACTTGAAGATGAAGGCAACTTCTATTCTGAAAACGTCAGTCGGATTCTTGACAACTTGCTGGAAGGCTATGACAATCGTCTACGGCCAGGATTTGGAGGTAAGACACTGTGTTGCTTTTAATCCAAATACTTGAACTTTCCCTCCTCCTTTATAACCCTTCTCAGACCTGGAGGAGTCAGAAAGAAGGTCTCCTACCAGGTAGCAAAGGGGAGGGGTACCAAGACTTCATGTGTGTATTGCTCATTGTCCATTTCTTACTTCTTCCTCAGTTGGTGACTTTTAAATTATTTGAAATCTGTAAGCCTTATTGTCTCAAACAGGAGTGTGTGTGTGTGTGTGTGTGTGTGTGTGTGTGTGTGTGTGTGTATACGTGTACATACTTGACTCACAGGGTTATGAGAATATAGAAAGAGCTTTTTCAGTTGTGACACATTTATTTGTGTTGTGACACTTAGTATTTGTCCTTTGAAAGCTGTCAATACTAGTAAGTTATTATCATCAGTTGAGCTGGTAATAACTATTACCAGCTGATCTTGTCATCTTCCCTCACTTAAGAGTCTCCCAGTGTGAATAGGATGAATTTAAAATAATTAATGTAAGTTTTTAAAGTTTGAAAACTGAAGGGGTATCCACTAGAGAGGGGTGGAAACTGACAGAGCTTTAGTCTTCAGGTATGTGAAAAGGCTTTGTAGAGTCACCACTCTCTCTCTCTCTTTTTTTTTTTTTTTACAATTTGTTAACACATATAAGTTATTTATTTAACTAAAACTATCATTATTTCTATAAGCATCATTGTTTCTATAAGCTAGGGCTGATGAGAGGCTTTCTTAAATTTTTTGATTAGTTACAGTTTATTAACTTTGTATCCCAGCTGTGCTAACAGCAGCTATTTTAATAGCCCGGACCTTTTTGGCTTATTTCAGGTGCTGTCACAGAAGTCAAAACAGACATCTATGTGACCAGCTTTGGGCCTGTGTCAGATGTGGAAATGGTGAGTGCCCTGGGTATAGTTTTATTTAAGAAGGAGAGCTGTCCCAAGACTAAGGATTTCAGATTTTACCATCCCGTCATCACACAACATGTCTATTTCTTCTGGGAAGGCATGTGTAAGAACGCAGATTATGGGCTCTGCGTGGATACTTGAAGATCAGCTAGTTTTTAATATTATAGGCTCTCTTCAATTCACATGCCATGCAATGACTAGTCCTACAAAGAGAAGAATTTCTACTTTTTGGTGAGGTCCCAGTAAAATTATTTGCATAAGAAACTCTTTTTAAAACGCTTCTTGCCAGGTAAGTCTATATTAATAAATATGATGCTGAGACATGTCTGCCATTTGTTATGCATCATCAGCAGTGCATCTTATCCAAACAGTGAAGAAGTCGCTTGGACAGGTTCAGGCTTTCCACCTTGTACATTGCGGATGCATCAGTGGGAGTTCTGGAGCCTCCGTCCCAGGTACAGATGGCTGTGGGATTCGTAAGAGGGTATTTATGGAAAGTGGCATTGAAAGCCTGAAGTCACCTTTCTGAACACAGCGTATCATGATATTCCTTCCCAGTTCCCAGGTAGAATTTTTCTCCCAACGCTAAAATACAAGCACCAAGACAGAAACTGTCATCAATGTCTTTTCCAAAGTATGCCTTTAACTTTTCTTGGGAAATTGTAATTCTGTACAAAGTTTCTGGTGACTTTTTTCCCCTACTTTAAAGTTGACATGAAAAGATGGAAAGGGTAAAGAAGATATGGATTAACAAGTAAAGTAAAGGGGAACAAAACAGATTTTCTTAAAAAGGCAGAATGGAGGGAAAACAGGAGAGAGAGGCTGAGGGAGAGAGGAGGGGAGGAAAGAAGGAAGATACAGAAGAGAGGCAGAGAGTGAGAAAAAAAATCTTAAGGCTTAAAAAAGGAGAGTCAATACAACTCAGAACACTTGTTATTCTAGTATCATTCTTTCCTTCAATTTTTATTTTATTTCAAGAATAAACATGTATGACACCGGCTACTGCAATGCTCAAGTCTGGGAGTCTGGGATTACTTTACTTTTACTTTGTACATGTATCTCTTCTTATACTAGTTTGTGCAACAGAATCCTCATATTGCATAATTTATGATTGTATAGATATATTATGCATTTAAATATGCTTTTAAAATTTAATCACTACTTATAGAAATAAGTATCATAAAGGAGGCAAAAATTATCGGCAATGCTTCAACAGAGTAGCAAGGCATTTTTCATGAACTTCTGTGATGGAGTTATAATTATCTTTTTTAAAATTAACATTCTCCACAGTTGTAACAAACCATGGATATAAAGCCATGGTTTAAAAATCAAAATTGTGGTATTTATATTAAATATTTTATTTTATGTTTAGAATAATCATGGTAATATTTGCTTGCATGTCCTCTGACAACAACATCAGAATTCCATGGTATGCAGTATCATTTTACTAATCAATGAAGGTTTGTATTATTGAAATTTTACTGCATGGAAGTGAGTGAGGGGCTAGACTAGCTGAAGGTAGGATGTAAAGCAAGAAGCCTGAACTTTAACCATTTTCATGTTTTTAGTTCTATAAACATTTTCATGTCTTTCTTTTTTTTATTAGCCCTGTTATTTTTTTATTCGAGATTATAATATAATCACATCTTTTCTCCCTTCTTTTCCTCCCTTCGAGCCCTCCCATTTACCACCCTTATTGTCTTTTAATTCCATGGCCTCTTTTAAAAAATTGTTGTTACATGCACACACATGTATGTATGTATGTATATGTATGCGTATTTAGGAGCATGTTTTTCTTTTAAGTTAAGGGGAACAACAGAGTAAAAGTCACAGCTGGAAAGTTGGCCAACTGGATAGTCATGAGAAGCAATGTTAAGCAGATTTAAGTAGGAGAAGAACTTTGGTCCAATATGTCTCAGTTTTATAATGTTAAAAACCTTGTGCGTTTGAGAAAAGCGAGGAGTCACCGAAATCAATATTTAGGATTATAAAAATCACTTACCGTTTATAATAAAATATCATTGATTCTAAGATCATTATTGATTACCAAATTATCCAGCTTCTTTAGTAAGTTATTGGTGTGGACTTTACTTTCTTGATTGAATTTAGAGCTAGGCATAAATGATGAATAAAGTATTTTACAAGACATGTCCACTCTACGTGAATATTTGTTTTTTCTCTTAGGAGTATACAATGGATGTTTTCTTCCGCCAGACTTGGATTGATGAGAGGCTGAAGTTTAGGGGTCCCGCTGAGATTCTTAGTTTAAATAACTTGATGGTCAGCAAGATCTGGACTCCAGACACTTTTTTCCGGAATGGGAAAAAGTCAATTGCTCACAACATGACCACCCCTAATAAGCTCTTCCGATTAATGCAGAACGGAACTATCCTGTACACCATGAGGTGAGCTGCCCATTCTACTGCTGCTCCCCAGAAGTTGGGTCCACCCTGGTAACCAGAAGTATGTATCTCATTATCTCCAGGCTTACCATCAATGCCGATTGTCCCATGAGGCTGGTGAACTTCCCAATGGATGGACACGCTTGTCCACTCAAGTTTGGGAGCTGTAAGTTACACAAAGTTTATGGAAGCCAAATTAGGCATTAGATATACATATTTATTTGGTTATAGTTGGAGACTGGGAAATGAAAGAAAATATTACTAGAAAACTCACAGAGGGAGTTCAGGAATACGCTTTTTGCCAATGTTAGTTAATTTAGTTAATGATATTAAAGCAACAACATTTGTTTCTTTTTCAATAGACAAGGCAGATAATGCTTCTTTTAGAGGAAAAAAAAAGCTAATGAGTTATTTTTACTGCTTTGTGTCATTTGTTTCAAAAATACAGATGCTTATCCTAAAAGCGAAATCATATATACATGGAAAAAAGGACCCCTTTACTCAGTAGAAGTCCCAGAAGAATCTTCTAGCCTCCTACAGTATGATTTGATTGGGCAAACAGTTTCTAGTGAGACTATTAAATCTAACACAGGTAACAATATATTTTTTAAATCATGTAACATGACTCTAGTACACCCTTTCAAAATATCTAGTCTTTTATTTCATGAATATTAGACATGATAGGGTAAATTTACTATTTTGAAGTGATTTCCTCAAAATGTATTTGCAACTGGGTAAATGGTAATTAATATTTGTGCAATCTTAGAATGAATTATTCTTAAACCATCTGATACAAGGTGCCATCAAAACCAGTATACAGATATGTCTCTTTGCCTCTGATCGTGTAATATTCTTATATAGTTTTAAATCATGTCTTTGCTTGTTTTCTTCTGGACTGGGCTAACTTAAAACTTTGCAAGTTTTATATTCACTGGATTCATTTTCTCATTGTCAAGAGCCACCCTACTAATGAGCATTTCTTTCAACAGGTGACTATGCAATAATGACAGTCTATTTCCACTTACAAAGGAAGATGGGCTATTTCATGATCCAGATATACACTCCCTGCATCATGACAGTCATTCTTTCCCAGGTGTCTTTCTGGATTAATAAGGAGTCGGTCCCAGCAAGAACTGTCTTTGGTATGCCTTACCATGCTCTGTTTCCATTCAGTTTCTACTTCTTAATGCTTGTGTCTTTGCTATGAATACTGAAAACTGTGTGCCCTCTCAATACACAGAAGAAACAGAGTCATATGTTACATAAAATAATTCTTGTCTTTTTGCAAATTGTGTGGTGAATCAACAAATGTGTTGTCTCTTCAAGATTTCTGGCTCTTTCTGAGGACTTAAGTGTCTTAGCAGTGGTCAGCATAAAGGAAAAAACAAAACAACTGGTTATATTAACTATATTTACTATGGTAGTAAATCCACTCATATGAACTATATCTCACTCTTACGGGGTTGAATAAATGAAGTTGTCATTTTGAAGATCCCAAAGTAGATAAATACTGACAACTTTCTTTATTTTATTTTTCTTATTAGTTACATTTTGTTAACTCTGCATCCCAGCTGTATCCCACTCTCTCATTCCCTCCCTGATCTCACCCTCCCTCCCTCATCTCCTCCCTGCCCCTTTCCAAGTCCACTGATAGGGAGGACCTCCTCCCTTTTCCCTGTTTTATCAGGTATCTTCAGGACTGGCTGCAAAGTCCTCCTCTGTGGCCTAACAGTACTGCTCCTCCCTTGGGGGGGGGGGGGTAGAGAGGTCAAAGAGCCAGCCATTGAGTTCCTGTTAGAAATACTGACAACTTTCTTAATTTAGCCAAATGTTTACTTTTAGTTGCAAAGTAAAATATCACTATTTGATGGAGAATGCTGAAATAATAAGAACAAGAGTGCTAACTAAATATTATGAAAAGCAAAATCCACTCTTCCCTACATTTTTCAGTTACAAGTTTAAATCTATATGATTTTTTTACACTAGAATGGATCCACTTATCAAATTCCCAGAAAAAAAATCACCATATGGGTACCATCAACATTGCATATCTACGAATTACATATTTTTTTTTTGTCACAGTTCAAGTAGAAAAAAACTTCTGTCAGAAACCCGACAGAATTCTTTCTTTTTCATTGGTAAATACTTTATCTTTAAAAAAAAAATATTTTTAAATTGAGTAAACTAATTTTATACTCAATTTCTATTCCTCCCTGATAATTAAAGATCCTCTCAGCTACTGAAATCAAAGATACAAGATCTTAACAATTCAAATCACAGTAATTTGTTACATTTTCTCGAGCAGGAAACAAATAGAACAAACTATCCATGATTGGCATTTTTACTAATTAGCTCAACAAGTATTTTACGGGAATTTTATTTTCTAAGTCAATGCACCAGGTTAGGATGATGGTAACACCCTCTGGTAATGCATTACAACAACGAACATCACTAGAAGGACAAATTATTGAGTCCCCATACTAACTTTTATTATTATTATTGGATCCGGTTACAGGATTCCCAGTGCTAAATGATGTGTTTCTCCTCCTTTTTCATTTCAGGAATCACCACTGTTTTAACCATGACCACCTTAAGCATCAGTGCCCGGCACTCGCTTCCTAAAGTGTCCTACGCGACTGCCATGGACTGGTTCATAGCCGTGTGCTTTGCTTTTGTCTTTTCTGCCCTCATTGAGTTTGCAGCTGTCAACTACTTCACCAACCTCCAGTCACAGAAGGCAGAAAGGAGGGCTGCACAGACCGCAGCCCCGCCCCCTGTGGCAACATCAAAAGCAACTGAACCACGAGAAGCTGAGATTATTGTGGTAATTGTTTTCTTCTTCTACCGTTAGCCAGCAGATTTAGAAAGCAAGCTCAGTCAGTAGCAACATACAAATGAGCCGAATTAAACAGTATTTGTTGAGCGTAAATTATAAAACTAGACTTGCCAGGCGAAATTTGCTTTCCACTTCACAGGGTGAAGCTAAGGAAGAGCCTTCATTTATATTTGCTCTCAAGTTTTGCTATTCTTTCATCATCCTTACTTATCCTGGCAGTCTCTAGGCTCTCAAAGGAGACTAGAAAATTCTACTTAGCCTTTAGAAGTTTCCTTTGAACAGGTTTCCTTATAGCAACTAGGGAGAATAAAGTTAAAAAAAAAAAAAAAGTCCTAATGAGGCTTTCAGGGTCTGAAGGAAAAGATACAACAACTCCTGCCACATGGATGGTTTTTTTTGAGAAAAACCTATGAACTGCTTTATTTCATGAGAGGAGAAGGTGAATAATGAATATATGTTCGCTGATGCAACGTGACCCATGTATTTCACTCCCATTAAAACCTGATCACATTTACATAAGTGTATTAAATACATGCATGTCAGTGAGCTCACATTCAAAGGAATATTTTAATTTAAAAATACTCAGAAACTTTCTTCATATGCTATATGCAAACCCTTCTCTCCAAAGGTTTTGGGAAGCAAAAATGAATGAGATAATTAATATTTAAAGAGTCAAAAGCATACTACTAAATTTCATTCTCATTTTTGAACACATTCTTATATATTTTTAGAAATATAATATAAAATTGATTGACGAGTATAAATTTTTATATTAATACAAACGCCAAATGAGTAGCCCTTGGCTAAGAGGGAACATTTATCCAATAAATGTAAACTTGAGTAATGTAGTGATTTGAATCTTCAAATCATCACTAATTGTTTAAGTCTAGTGAATATCTTCTTAGCTATTTTATTCAATATTTATATGCAATTTTCTAATCCAAAAATCACATGTATAAGTCAGGAAGCCTTAGTCTGATATGTGATGGAAACTATAATGCAATGTATCTTTTACTTCTACAAGTTTGTAACATTTATTGGCTAATACAGCTCACAATTTGTATTAACCCTTTTTTGTTTGATAAATTAAGGGGTTTTTTTTGTTTGTTTGTTTGTTTGTTTCAATGAATTGACATTTCTCTTGGAGTAATGAGAATGTCATTACCACATTGAGTGGAAATATGTAAAAGGTTTTTTTTTTCCCCTCTTATTACTCTGCATTAGGAAAAAAGAATTAAGGAGAAAAAGAATTAGGAAAGGAATGAAAAGGAAAATGCTTTCTATTGATCCATCCTAAATTTCTTGCTTTTACAAAGAGGAAAATCCAGTCTCAGAGGTCATAGCTGAGTAGGCATCCTTAAATGTCATGGTGTTTGCCAGGAATACAACCTGGTGGAAAAATTAGGAATTGATTCTCGAATTTCTGTTGTGTACAGTATTATAGGCTAATACTATTCTCTCCTCATCAAAGGCTGAAGGAAACAAGTAAACCTTCACTTGTACTCCAGGATAAAACACATTTTAGAATGTGGATGACATCATTCCTCAATGTCATCTTTCAACCTACTGATATTTTCTATATGAGTATATACAAAGAGAATACATGCATATATATATAATAAAAAAAGCTCTAGGCTTAGTTTGACATGTTTGAAAACCATTTTTCCAGGCAAGTTACATTTCAAATATCTTTAACAATTGTTTTATACTTGTGAAAAAATTGTGTTGTGAACTATCGGTATGCATACTCATATATATTCTGTGCTATTCAAAATGTATAATTGAACTTAGCACATATCTTTGAAGAATTATTTATCAGAATTCAAGCTGTTTGCAAAGGGGTCATCAATAAGAAAGCAGATGATGTAATACACGTTGTGGAGCTGAAATCTAGTCTTCTCAAATACAGTGAAACTAAGCTTGGTCATTTTCCTAATTTATCCCCACCTCACTAAGGTTTTGTTTTTTCCTCCAGAGAAGATGATAAAAATCTAAATTTGAAAATTGAGCAAAACAAAAGATAAATTCATCATAAATAGAACAAATAAATAAATAAATAAATAAGCAATTAAAATGATTTTGAATATACTCATCAATTTAATGTTGGGATATAATAAAAATTAATTTCTTAATTTTATTTTTATTTTATTTTATTGCAATATATAGTTCCAGGGACCAGGTTATGATTTCAAATATTTGGAAAATAGCAGAGTTATCCGTATCTCAAGCTATTAATTTAAAGGTATAATCTATTAAAAGATAAACGGTAAGATCCTAAGTATTCACATATGAATTATCTCCTAGGATATTGAAAGAGTAACATGATGAGCAGGTCATGTAGAAAGCTGCAAAAAAAAAAAAATACATTTAAATCTCCTCAGAGCACTTTCTATAGCAGTTCCATTTGTCCTTATTAAAAAAAAATCCCATTATCCTGACCCTTTTTCTACTTATAAAATATAAAAACAATTGACAGAATATATATATATATACATATTTATTAATTTATTTCTGAAAGACTAAAGTAAAAATTAAAAACAAAAGTAACCAAGCCAAAAACACAAACCCTAAAGCCATCAAAATAAACACATGTTATTATGTAGGACATTTATATTTCCTTTGTTCATGGGAAAACTTAGCAAGTTGCTTTATAAAATGGAGAAGAACAAACATGAATTGTACATTGGCTATTTATGTTATCAGTACTATATTATGATTGCAAGGTCATTTTATTTTTTCCGCAAATACCATGACATTTAAAAATGCCTATTCAGATGTAATCAAAACATTACTTTTGAAAGTTCGCCATTGAAACCACAGGTTACTGTGGTGAAGGTGAAGTACATTAATTTGCTAGTTTCCTGTTACTTTAAAGGTCTAAGCCCTCTGCTGTGTTCCTGAGGGGGAATACTCTCTCCTCCTACCACTGTTCCTTTCACTAGTACTTTTCCTACTAGGGCAATTGTTCCTTATGAGAGGTGTGACAGTTTTGTGAATCTGCATGCAAAATCTGCATATAAAATTGACCAAAACTTCATTTGCCAGAACCAACAGTAAAAACATACTCGTTGCCTTCTTGGGCACTGTTTGCTTCCTTTTACATCTGGCACCGTTTGTCGAGGGGCTACGGTAAATTATTCAGATCCTATGCTTATCTACAGTTTCTTATACACAGTATGGAGTATCACCATAAGCTCTAATTCTTCATGGAGCTTCTTGCACAGCAAGAGGAGAAATGTCAATGCGAGACGGGCTCATGAGTGATTGTGATAGAGGCTATGGCTAAAGACAGCATAAAAATTTCCATGTGAGAGTGTCTAACTAGTTTTGGAGGACTCTGCATTTCTAGAAGAATGATTTTTAAAGCTAAAAAGAAAAAGGTGACCCTGGCTTGAATAGAAGCCCAAAGCTAGTTGCTAGGAACTTGGGCACAGAGAAGGAAATAAAACTGTCCACTTCTTGGAGGAGGAAGTACATGCCATGCCCTGAACTTGTAATCAACTATGCACAGAGATGTGAGGGATAGAATGCTAAAAGTTATCTGTCCTGTTCCAAAATCTGGCTAAGATTTCTTTCAACCTCTATTATTACTCCCTAAAAATAAGGGTTGAATTAAGACTATGAGAAGCTCTAAAAAGCAGGAAACTGGACTCTTCTTCCTGCGATTGTTTCATCATATAAATTATGGGGAGACAGGAGTGGATTAGGTGATGTGTCATTTGTTAGACTTTAATCCATATAGTCTATCAAATATCTGGCCAGATCTCCAGTCTCTACCCTCCAAAAACCAGTCTGCATTCCTTAGCAGCACAGATAGCCCAGGTGGATGCCAACAAGTCATTTCCCATAGGACATTCTGGAATCCTCTATGCTATCAGTAATGCTCGCTTCAACATAAACTGTTTTTTAAAAGCATACAGTTGTAATTTCACCTTAACAGGAACATGATGTTTTTTAATACTATTTATAAATACTATATTTTGTTGTTGTTGTTTTTTAAATTTTCTCTTATTTTAGCATAGAAAATGACTGGTTCCATAAATGTTTTGTGCCTTGAGTAGTGAGCCTTGATTAGAACAGCTGTGTTAAGAGAGTCTATACTTGGGACCTTGAGAGATGGCTCATTGGCTAAGAGTACATCCTAGCTACTTTAGCTGAGGGCCCAGGTTCAGTTCCCACCACTGACATGGTGGCTGGGAACTATCTGTAACTCCGGTTCCAGGCCTCCTCAGTTGCCAGGCGTAATAGTGCTTTGGTTCACAGACACACATGCAGACCAATCATATAAATAGAAAAGTTATTAAAATATTTTAAAGAGATTATACATGTGACCACTTTATTCAAAATAGTAAGTGAATATAAAGTATTTCCTTAATGCCTTATCCCTGCATCAAATAACTGATTATCATGCTGTCTGCTTTAACTCAAGGTACCTTTGCAATATAATGTTACTTAAAACAAAGAAGTGCTCTAAAAATACCCAGAGCAGGATGTCACTCCACAGCAGGGGAGCCCAGAAAAATTTCAAAACCACAGGTGTTCCACTCAAAACCCTGACAGCCCCAAGCTGAGCCCTCATCTGGACTCTGACAAAAGCCTATTTTACCATCAACCTAAGCTGCTGGTCTCACAATAGAGCAGGTGGAGTTTGATGCAAACGTGTAGCTTAAAGGGTTTGCAAAAATTGGCTTTCTTTCCATTTCAGAAATGTAATGTTTTTTCTCCTAAATTGGCATCTAGTATCCTCTGGCTGCCAATTCTTAACTATCCAGTAGCGGCTTATCCAGTGTACAGCATTAAATACAGAACTCCTCCATTTCCTGTAGAGTATTACCTTTGCTTCTGTTAGAACCCCCCCACCACACACCTCACCCTTTACCGCCCCACCCCTATCCAGCCAATGTTAGACAGGGAAGCAAACCAGATTTTAAAAACAGTTATTCTCAAACTATTCCCCAAGTAGGCATTGGACACTGTCTGCATGTTGTTACAAATTGGGGCGAGGGTGTTATTGGTACCTTTGAAAAGGATGTCTCGAACATTGACTAATATTATGGAAGACAGCGTTTATCCAGAAAAAAAAAATCCAATCTAAAATTTTAATACATTGGAGCCTGAAGAACTCTAGGCAGTGCTGGTACGATGTTCAAGAAAGTATCTGCTAAGAGCAGGATCTCTGGAAGCTGAACTGAATCCAAGCCTCTACACACGTAGGACTAAGTGAGTTTTCTTACTCTATTTCAATCTTCGATGTCTAAAATGAGCATGATAGGACATTAAAGATATTTTCAAAGAGTAAGTAAAATTATTTATGTAAATTTCCTCATGGTGCTTGTCAAACTGCTGGAAAATATTTCCATTTTCATTTGTCTGTTGATTAAGCATAAGTTTTTGAAAGTATAGTCTGTTCCTTGCACTGGCTAGGCACTATTGCTTGAACATAATGTGCCTTGTATCATTAAGAAGATATCAAGATGTGAAAGAAGATAAAATTAAGTAGAAGTAGTTATTTCTAGAAGAGATAATATGGAATGAGCGACAGGAGTGCTGGGGAGTCAGGAAAGTGTATGAAAGTGGTACCATTGATGACATTGGATGGCACATGAACTTTCTGTCAACATATTTGAAGGAGGGATAGCAAGGAAACATAATTCTTTTTTAATTTTTATTGGTTACAGTTTATTCACTTTGTATCCCAGCTGTAGCTCCCTCCTCCATGCCCTCCTAATCATACCCTTCCTCCCTCTTCTTCTCCTATACCCCTTCCCCAGCCCAATGATAGGGGAAATCCTTCTCCCCTTCCATCTGACTCTAGTCTATCAGGTCTCATCAAGACAGGCTGGATTGTCTTCCTCTGTAGTCTGGTAAGGCTGTTCCCCACTCAGGTGGAGATGATCAAAGAGCCAGACCCTGAATTCATGTCAGAGACAGCCCCTGTTCCTCTTACTAGGGAACCTACTTGGACACTGAGCTGCCATGGGCTACATCTGTGCAGGGGTTCTAGGTTAGCTCCATGCACGGTCCTTGTTTGGAGCATCAGTCCCACAAAAGACCCCTGTGCCCAGATCAGAAACGTTATTCTTAAAGAGGAGATTTAGTTCAAGAAAATGCCAAGAACAGAGAGCAGACACTGCAGAGAATTGAAAAGACATTTACAACTAAAATTTGCTAAGCAAATATTTGTAATCATATACAGCAGACATTTTGCTCAAATTCTTATAAAAATAGGAAAATGTGCCTGATGACAGGTGTAATTATCCCCAACATTAAAGATAAGAACTGAGGTTAAGGCAGAACCTCTGATATTGACGGCACATCTAAGCTGAATCACAGGTAAATAGTAGACGTGGGGTTGTAACATGGGGATTTTAGACTATTATCTCCTAATAAATACTCCACAGGGCTTTACTGGTGCAGAGGCAATGAAAGGAATGCTTGCTTCAGGGTAATACTTTGTTCTTATTTTTGAATCAGACCTCTTATCTCTGTACTACGGTAACTTGGTCATCCTCATTGAGTCTTTCTGAAAATGTGGGTATGCCAAGAAATTCAGAAATAGCCCTTTCTACGCCAAAGCACTAAATAATATGGGAAAATAATAAGTTCTTTAATATTATGAGATATTGTATTTATATTCTTTTTTTCTGTCAATCTCAAAGAACAAGACAGATCTGACCTCCTTCGGCCTAAAAGAGGAACAAAAGACAAGTTTCAGACAGGTAGCTTGTGATGTTCAGAGTGAAGATGAGTCTGGAAAGAAAGTCTCTGAGGGTTTTCTCTTTTCCACTCAATCATAACATTAGAAATTTTACCAGAGTAAAGGATTTCAGTGTTTCTTACGTATGGAAAGAGAATGGATCTTATTTTGGAAAATGGAACAGTGGCATTTTGTGTTTTCATGTAGATAATAATTTAATAATATTTTATGGGTAAAATAAAATTATTTAATAAAATTAGAGTCCGCTAAATATGGTTGAAAACACTTAGTAAACAGTTTCAAATTTATCTTTTAAGACACTAGTATGTGGTATGTTGAGACCAAAATACTGTCACCTTGTACAAACTGCAGTCTAGTTACCATGGGGATTTAGTCCTTAGCTGTCACTTAGGTTTAGTAGTTAATGTCCCTCTTTCATTGCCAGAATCAGAAAAGTAGGATCTTGCCTATTTTAGATTCTCTTCTCCTTCAAGACCTATAAGTTATTTAATTCTGTGAAAATGTCAACCACAGTGCCAGGCCAATTGATAAAGCAACCTTCATATGAAATTCACCGTGATTGGGTAAAATTATACTCAGTTTTCACTTGTAGGAAAAGACAGATTTTTGCCATGGTGTCTGAAAAGGAAGTGGGCTCTGATTCTTTAAGACGACAACTGTTACTTAGATAGCTGGAAACTTCCATGTTGAATCAAACAAGTGAGTCCAGGATAAAGATAAAAAAAAAAAATCAAAACAAAACAAAAAGATTCTTTGAGTTAATGCTCCTGAAGCCCAAATATCACCACACCACCAGGCCACTGTGATCCTGTGGCTCAGCTAGCACAGGAGAGGTGGTTGCCTCATCCTGTGGCTAGAGGGTGGCTGGCTTTAGCTACAGAAGTCTGCTCACATGAGGAGCATGGCATGTCATGCTGCAAAGTAGTGATTTTGTTGCCAGAGAAGAAACAAGGCCACGTTACATGCTCAAATGGGAATGTAGAACAAGCGTTTGAAGGTAAGGCACCAGTAAAAACAACCTGACCTTAATGAAAGTGAATGCTCTAAAATGTAGACAAGAAATAGCAGGAAACAATATAAAGGAGCCTAGACTTCAAAAGCATGGAAAGATTCTGGATCAGACAGTGTTAAAGTTTGTGAACTAGGCTTAGTAGGTTAGAGCAGAGATACAAAAAAATGTGTTGGAAAGAAAACAAACATTGAATTATAGCCCTAGGCTTTGCTAGAACATGTCCCCATTGCTATGACCCCCCACTTTCACAAATGTTAATTAATATCACTTTTAAAAATCAATGTGTTCTGTGATTTTAGTAGACCAGAAACTCAGTAATAGAAAAGAACATAGGGCAACTCTCAAGTTAGTGGATGAATCAATTGGGATGTTTTCAGAAAAAGAGAGGTCTTGGGAAGTGTTTATTGGAAAGGTGAAGGCTCTCTGAGTTGAACTACTAGGTTTAACGGCAGATATTCTCCACTATTGCATCTGCCCAAAACTTGTTAAGTCTCATCAGGACTGTATGCATCCTCTTACTCCATGGCCTGGCAAGGCTGCATCATCAGGGGCAAGTGATCAAAGAGCAGTCAACTGAGTTCTTGATAGAGATAGACCCTGATGGCAATAGTGGAGAACTACCCCTTTCACTGGACTAAGGGAAGGGAATAAGGGGAAGGGAAAGGAAAGCTGGGAGTGGGGGAGTTGGGTGAGAGGGCTTCAATCGGGATATATAATAAAAAAGTTGTGAAGAAAAAAAAAACAAAAAAAAGAGTTAGAAAAAGAGGCAGATATATTTCAAAGCACAAACATTCTCGAACCCAATCTACAGTTTTTACTGTTTTACTATTGGTGATTGGTTTGATGGATGTTGACTAATTCTTCTGTTCATAAATTTCATCTAGTTCAAACTCCTAAGTATGAGAATGATTTAGGATGGAATCTAGAAGGCTATCAGTGAATACAACTAGGATTTTCTTGTTGTAATTGTCCACATGTTTTTAAATCAAGTGCACCCCCTTACATACATACATACAGAGAGAGAGAGAGAGAGAGAGAGAGAGAGAGGCAGAGACAGGGAGCGGCAGAGACAGAGAGTGGAAGAGAGAGAAAAAGGCAGAAACAAAGGGACGGATAGGGACAAGCATACTTGATTATGTACATTCATTGGCTTAGAGGTTTAAGTATAATCTTTTAACTTGAATCAACTTTTCCTAATGCATTTTTCTATATAAATTTCCCAAATATACTTAATGTTGTGCATCTATTGTATTCAATTTTAGGATTTCAGATTGAGGCAACCTACTGGTTTTGAAGTAAGGTTGGGGGTATATGGTTCAGTGGTAGACTACTTGCCTGAAACAAATGAGATCTTGGCTATAACTCCAAGACTGCACCAAAAATGTGGGAAATATGGCCATCTTCAGTGTTCACTTGAGGGAAGGATGAGTTGCTTACTGGTAGGTAGAGCCATATTCACAACACGCTAAGTTATACATTTAAACTCTAGCAACACACACACACACAGTAAAAGCTTTGCAATAACTCTTGGGAAAATGATGATATAACATACATTCATTGATGTTTTACCAGACATGGATAGCTAATAAATATGTGTCAATGGTAAAAGTCATGCCTGTCTAGACAGAGGATCTCTGGTATTTTGCTATGTTGATGATTTTTACCTTTCTTCCTCAGCACTCTGACTCCAAGTACCATCTTAAGAAGAGGATCAGCTCTCTGAACTTGCCGATAGTTTCATCATCTGAGGCCAGCAAAGTCCTCAGTAGAACGCCCATCTTACCATCAACACCTGTCACTCCCCCACTGCTCTTACCAGCTGTTGGAGGCACCAGCAAAATAGATCAATATTCTCGAATTCTCTTTCCCGTAGCATTTGCAGGATTCAACCTTGTGTACTGGATAGTTTACCTTTCCAAGGACACAATGGAAGTGAGCAGTACTGTTGAGTAGTTCGCAGCCTGGACAACCTGGATACTGTAGCTTCTTGTTTGCCTCACTGACAGCACAAAAATTATTGAGGTTTGTATAGATGTTCTCATTTCATAAACGAAGTGAAAACTGAATACCTATATTTCATAATGTGAAATAAGTGTGTGGGGGTCAAAAGTAATGATGTTATTCTTCAAAATGAAAATTAAAAGGCTACTGAAAATGTGACTTTTCTATACAGTTAAATAATAATAATAACAACAATAATAAATATCATTCATCTACATTGATAAGGAAGATTCAAAATGAGTTTGCCAAACATTGTCTTCAGTGTTCAGTATGTCTAATAATCACTGTGAATAACATTTTTCATAAGGCAGATAAACTCAGACATGCTGACATTTCTAAAGCTTGCCTTAAATTTGTTTATTTTGGCTTAGTTTCTAGTCTAAATATTTATTGGTATGTTTATACAGCATGCTAGAAGCCTTTATGATTTTACAAGAGCTTTCAGTGGCACTGGACCACTTAAATTGAGTTTAGACATTTCTTTTTAACCTTGCTGTGTTCTTTTTACCTCAATAAAATGTGGCATTATATACATATAAATAATACATAGTTTATACATTATGTATGCCTGTGTACATAGCTTTAGTTATGCTGCAATAATGTTGCTATTTCCCACGAAATTCACCTTTGAAAAGAAGATGCTACCATAACACCAGGAAGTTGTGGGAAGGTCGCTCTGTGTGCTGTGACTGTTCATTCTGATTATTGTTACTGCTCATATGTTCCGCCTTCCTAAGTATAATACTAAATAAAACCACAACGAGCCTGCATCTATGATTCTGAGTCATAAATGTGTACAGACAAGTTTTCTTAGATGTGGAGACATGAACTGGCTTCCTCTTCCCCAGTGTTAGCCACAGCCGCTCTGAGAGACAGGGGGTGAAACAGCCAAGCTCTGTCAGCAGCTGAAAGGACTTGAGTCATAGGCAAACAATCACTGCTTCCTTTTGCTTCTCCACCTTCAACAGTGAAATTTAGATGGCGTTTCGCTCCCTCCTTTTCCCAAGTCTTGATGATTTCTCTGTGCTTCTCTCACATAAAATTACTCTAAGGAAAGAGGAATCAGGCATAAGAAAAAGCATGCCATGCAGTCTGTTCAAATGGCTGGAATGTCAGAATGCATGTACACACCAAACAAACAAAAAAAACCCCACTTTGGTCTAAGTAATTTTATCATTTTCTATGAAAATATCCACCTACTACGTATAAACAATGTCAATTTTATTTGAAATAGCTTTCTAGTAAAGACAAAAGAGATAACATCACTGTCCAACTTATCTATTGTTTTGTTTCTTAACCAGGTGTCTTTAGATGCTTGTAGACTATTTTCACTTATAGAACAGGAGAAATGGCATACATCCTTCTAAAGATCTTTTCCATATTGAAAACAAAATGCTACTTTTTTTTCTTCATATAAACAAAGATGGTGTAATTACACAGGAATCCATTTCCACTTCATGGAGTATATTAAGTAATTAAAAACCACAAAGGTTGATATCTTCATCTAAGATAGGCAAGACTGAGACTTCAATTCTGCCAAGCATAGTCTGCTATTTTTTTTTTCATTTAAAGATGAAGAAACCAAGGCACAAAAAGGGAAGAGCCACAATTGGTTATCCAATAACAGGTTGTCAGTTGTGAAATGATATACACACAAGTAATAAAATATAGACTGAGCAGATTAACATTATGTATCTATGAATGTATGTTATATATATAGTAATAATTAAGAAATCTAGATCCCACCATTTGTCTGCAAATTTCATAATTTCCTTGTTTTTAATTGCTACGTAGTATTCCATGGTGTACCACAATTTCTGTATCCATTCCTCCGTTGAGGGACATATGGTGGGAGCTAGAAAAGATCGTCCTGAGTGAGGTATCCCAGAAGCAGAAAGACACACATCGTATATACTCACTTATCAGTGGATACGAGAACTATAATGTAGGATAAACATACTAAAATCTGTACACCTAAAGAAGCTAAGCAAGAACGAGGACCCTGGGTAAGATGATCAATCATCACTCAGAAAGACAAACAGGATAGACATTGAAAGAAGGAAAAAACAAAAAACAAAACAGGAAACAGGACAGGAGCCGACCACAGAGAGACTCTGAAAGACTCTACCCAGCAGTGTATCCAAGCAGATGCTGAGACTCATAACCAAACTTCTGGCAGAGTGTAGGGAATATATGAAAGAAGGGGAAGATAGTGGGACCTAGAGAGGACAGGAGTTCCACAAGGAGAGTAACAGAAAAAAAATATCGGGCACAGGGGTCTTTTCTGAGACTGATACTCCAACCAAGGACCATTCATGGATATAACCTAGAACCCCTGTTCAGATGTAGCCCATGGCAGCTCAGTATCCAAGTGGGTGTCCTATTAAGGGGGACAGGGACTGTCTCTGACATGAACTCAGTGGCAGGCTCTTTGACCACCCGCCCTTTAGAGGGGAGCAACTTTGCCAGGCCACAAAGGAGGACAATGCAGCCAGTCCTGATGTGACCTAATAAGCCAGGGTCAGGTAAAAGGGGAGGAGAACCTCCTTTAGCAGTGGACTTGGAGAGGGGCCATGGGAGGAGATGAATCAGAAAGGGTGGGATTGGGAGGGAATGAGGACGGGGGCTACAGCTGGGATACACAGTGAATAAACTGTAATTAATATTAAAAAAACATGGAAAAAACCCTAGAGGCCAAGAATTTTAAAGAGAATAAGGAAGGATGCAGGGAGGACGATTGAGGAAAGAAGACAGAAGTGTGTATTTCCTCCTTGTAATTATATTTTAATTTCAAAATCATATACATACATTAAAAAAGAAACCAAGGCACTCAGAGCATGGAAAAAATGTTCAACACCAAAGCATATTAATGTGCTGCATCTGGGAGTCATACCTTGGCACAGGTATCATATCATATCTCATTCACTAACCTTCATCACACCTGTCCTCACCCAATAAAATATGACTCTTCTTCCTCTCTGTCTAGTGCTCTCTTAGACTGTATTTTATTTCCCATCATTGTTTTCTGGAAATTTGACATCCTCAGTCAGTCTTCATCTTCATTCTGAATCTTAGCACAATGAGCATTACTCTCTCTTTGCATTAGAGACATCAATAAAAAACAAGTGAGGCCTAAAGATTCCTTCCTAATAGCAGGATATTGAATAAAATAACTGCAACAAACTATAAAGCTCCTGACTTTCTTCAGATTCTAGAGAACACTATGTCTCAATATATGCCTTGGGGTGGTAATAGAGACTAACTGAAAAGGAAACACCTTTCCTAGTCAAATAATTTAAGGAAGAGATGCTGAGTCAATATTAAAACAGGTTTCTCTTCTGCTAGATTTCCCACAGTTTTTATTGCACTTGTGAGTGCTGAGCTGCTAATAGTTTGCTGTGGGAAGATGCCATTTTCTATCTCCTTGTGACTATAAACTTCACTTTGCAGAAGAAAATCGTAGCAATAGAATTCCCTAGAAAACAATCTGGGAAACACCACCATAGGTACTATTTATATGATTTCCTCATATCTGCAATTAAGCAGATATGGAATTGACTGTGTGGATGGAGAGTCTTGTTTTTACAGCTATTAGAAACCATATTATGACTGTAAAATAGAAATCAAAAGATGTATTTCATTCAGTAGAGATGCTTTAAATGGAAAAAAAAATCTGCGAAGCCACACAGAGATATTAACTGTAGGAAGCAGATTACTTGAAGAAATGGAGAAGTTTGTAGAACCTAGAAGTTAAGGAAAGAGGCCTCATAAAAGAGGATGCTGCCATCTGTCATTGGACAGAAGCTCAGTCCTCTGCAAAGAAGTCACTGGAGCTGGGAACCAAACCTTCTAACACAGTTTGGCCCCTGATTGGTCTTGTAGCACAGCTGACTGGAGGAATGGATCTCCAGAACTGAGGCTCTGTCCTCGGGGTATTGAGAGAGAGTTCCTGCCCATGGGGACCAAATCTTGAGGATGTATTGCTTGTTTAAAATTAACACACTTGATGGGGGGGTGGGATGCAGCTGGGATGCAGAGTTGATAAAATGTAAATAATAATAACAAACAATAAAAAAAAGAAAAGAAAAGAAAAAATAACACACTTGGGAGGAGTAAAATAGGATGATTCTGGGAGTACAGTAATCTGGAGATGGGAACAAGTTGCATTCTCAAGATGAAAAGAACACTGTTAGGCAAAAGCAAGGCAACAAAGAATGGGTTCTTTCCCTACGTTCTTGTTTTCCTCTGTCTCTCTAGTCATCTTCATTGGCAGAACCTACAGGAAACTCCCGTGATAGACACAAGAAGACAATTACAGTTTTAGCTCAAGCATCAGAAAGTGGAGAGTAAAAGATTAGACACTGAGCAATAAATACTTATCTAATGATTCTTTAGTACATTAACACCGTATACATATTTTGTGCATATTTATTTTGTTTTGCAATTGTATGTTTCTTCATACAAACAACATACAAACACATATCAGTTTTCAGAAAAGCATACACAAAATCCAGAAAGTCATGTGTGTGTGCCTGCAGGACTGCATAAATGCAGCTGTACATGTCTATGTGGAAGGTCAGAAAATGATCACTAATGTCTGTCTTCACCTTCCATCTTGTTTGAGACAGGGTGCCTTTGGTAATTGCTGTTGTGTATGTCAAAGTACCTGGCCCATGAGCTTCTGGGCGTTTTCCTGTCTCTGCTTTGGAAGTACTAGCCTGGCAGGAGTGCATTTTATCACTCGCCTTTATTTGGGCTCTGGGGATTTTAACACAGATTCGTGTGCAAGTGCTTTACCTGCTGGATCATTCCCTATCCTCAGTCACTTTTTTCTATGTTTTTACAACCACCACAGTATTTATTTATGACTAGTAATATTTACTCTTCTAATAAAATGATAGTATCACCTCAATACTATTTTGAAAAGACTCTATTATGAAGCTATTTGTTAT